GGCTGGTCTTTCCCACTCTTTCCTCTGTCATGTGCTAGTCAAGCTCTCTACCACTGAGCTACATCTTCAGCACTGTGTATCTTTTACTGTAATAACTTTTTAAAATTTAAACATTCATTCTATATTTGATCTCCCTTATATGTCTAGCTTCACTGGGTGAAATCCTTTTAGTAAGAGAAAGTATTTTATTCTACATTTGGAACAATATATATTCAATCTCACGAATTTTAAATGATTTCTTTTGTTTTCTCACTTTTCAATCCCTGCTCACCTCCCTTTGCTTCCTATTCTAATTTTTCTCTGCTTCTTCAGTTTCTGGGTTTACTAGGAATCACACTCTTATGTGTGCAAATATATCCAGTATGGTGTGCATGGGGATTGAGCATGTGCACCCACATTTAAGTGTTTGGGTGACTGTGTTGAGCCTCAGGACAAGGTATCCCTGAATTTACCTGAGATTTTTTTTTTTAGAAATGAGGATTGAACTCAGGCCCTTGCACTTGCCAGGGAAGTGCTTATTCCACTGAGCCATCTCCTCAGCCCCTGCCTGAGATTTTCTGTGAAAATATCTTTACCTTATACATATTTCCTTCTTTGTTCACTCAAAAATCTTATGGAAATGAATTAAGTCACCAGAAAAGAACAAGTAAAGGCTCTTTATTCAAAGCTTGCTCTAGAAGTCAGTCAGCTACCACCACCTGCATGTGGAGCAGAGCCGAAGGCAGCGTGGGAATAGGTCTGCTTCAGAGGAGAAAGGGAAGGCTTCCAGCGTGCTCTGACTGGAGGCTGGTGCATGGGAAGGGGTAGGTGGAAGCTTCTAAGTGCAAGCGCCACAATTTATATGATTAGTTAGGACACATAGTTGGCCTCCTCTGGTCAGTCCTTAGATGACAAAGAAAGGAGAAAAATCAGGTGAGTTTTCAGGTATTAATCGAATACTAGTTATTCTGAGTCAGCCCATAATGGGGCCATTTTTTGGCATCCTGCATTTGCTGCAGGGAGTGGGTTGGCATCTTGGACTTACTGGTGTAGCGTGTAGGCCTGAGTTCTTCATATATATTTTTGTGTATCTGGCCGTTGTCCACTGGCGCAGTCTCTCAGTTCCCTCTTTTGATCATTCTCTTATGCTGAATGTCCCAGGAAGGTAGAACTCCAGATCGTCACAGCTCAGAACATGTTCAGGCACCTTCATAGTCAAGTGTGTTGCAAGATCCTCTTGACTTTTCTTTTTCTGTTTTTTGGGTTTTTGAGACAGGGTCTCACTAAGTAGTTCAGGCTGGCCTTGAACTCACCATGTAGCCCAGGCTGATCTTGATCTCAAGGTAGTCTTCCAGCCTCAGTCTCCTGAATGCTGGGATTACAGACATGCCTGCTTCTTTTGCTGTGTCATTATGGTGATCAGCTGATGAGAAACTGGCTGCACAGAAGGATTTAAAATTCTAGATAAAAGACTGCAGATCAGTATCATGACTACTATCACAAAACAAGAACAACTCATAGTCCTTCTGAGAGACTTCAAAGGCAAGAACCCCATTTGCCCAACTCAGGACAAGAGAACAAATATAGGCCACAGGAGCAATCTTAGAGATCAATAGCGTATCCTATGTCTCTCCATGCTCGCCCAATTTTCCCTATTAAAATGATATGTAAACTACCAGGTTCATTGCTTCTTTGAGTCTTTAATTCTCATGAAAACTCCTGGGTTCATGTAAAATTATTAATATCATGTCAGGCATGGTGGTGCATGCCTGTAATCTGAACAGTCTGGGAAGCTGAGATATGATGATTGCAAGTGTGAGCCCAACCTGCTGATTTAGCTAAAGCAAACAAACAAAAACCGTGGCTGGGAGTGAAACTCACTGTGTAGGCACCCAGTTAAATTATCAGTATCCCCCTCCCACAAATCAAATAAACTTTACATGGTTAGTCTCCTATTAAATCTATCTTTTGTTAGTGTGATCCACAGGGCTCCAGCCCTAGAATGTAAGGGAATGAAAGAAGGTCTTTTTCTCCTCCCTGTAATATCAGTTGTCATGCCTCTTGCCTGACATGTACAGCAACCTCCAATCTACGTCCTCCTTAACTACTCTCAAAGACCAGCAGTCTCCCTTGCACTAGAGATCAAGCTAGGACCGTACACATGCTCTACCACTGAGCCGTATCCCAGCCCTATAGCGTCTGGTTTTCTGCAGCCTCCTTGCGTACCCCCTATTTTCCTTTAATCTAAAAACCCAAGTCCATCTGGGGAGAACCTATCCTACTACTAGAATTCCCAATTCCAGATGGCCATTCTCATTTTAGTGCAAAGAAACTCATTGTTCTAACCGTCTGTGTGCCCAGCTCATTTCACAGGGTTGTTGTTGGATCCTGACTTAAGCTAAAATCCCAAGGCTCATCAGCGTGCCATGCAGGAACAGGTAACATGGCTTCTCATAGTTTAGGGCTGTGCCTGGTGGGCTTTATTTGAAGTTGCAGAAGGTCTTTTCATGTGTGACTTGTGGTCCTGAAATCATCTTGGTGGTTCTGTGCAAGGTTTGAGAAAAACAAGATTGTCCAGTCGGCACCTTGACCTGGACTTGGCAACGGATTTAGAAAATGTATTAACATCACTTTCAAATCACTGAATTTACCTTGATGCTGTTTGTCTCCCCCATAGATTGTTCCTTTTTTGTTATAAAACCTTCATTCTGATGAGTTTTGGTGAAACATTTACCCAGTTTGTAAATGAGTCTATGTTTTAGACTTACAAATATACTCTGCACCCAAATGAGATGATGGTTGCTTTATTTGGACCTTTTTGCAATTTCTTATTCTTCAAAGCTGGGTAACAGAGTAGACTACAGGGAATAGGAGCTAAGCTAGCCTCACAGCCGTCTTCCTTACCCCGCTGCCACGAGCAGCTGCATATGCACTAGAGTGGGGCTGACTGTAATTGGAAACCACATAGCAGAGTTACTTCGAAATTTCTCAAAGAATTTTGTTCTCCCCACCCAAGGCGCCCTGTCATCTTGTTCCTCTCTCTTTCAAGAAAGACTGCTAACTCCAGCTCAGGTTTGCAGCAAGACAAAAGCGTGGAGCTTTTTGACTCCACTCCCTTCAGAAGCAGTTCAGAGATGCTGCCCACAGACCCTTGAGAGCTGTCCAGCCACCAAGGGGACATTGCCGGAGCCAGGACCCACTGACACTTCTTTCAGTTGGTCCAGTCCTTTTTTATTTTATTTTATTTTTTTTTTTTTGATTTATTTTGTTTTGTTTTTGGTGCGGAGGACCGAACCCAGATCTTCCAGCTTGCTGGGCAAGCGCTCCACCCCTTAGCCAAATCCGCAGCCCCAGGCAGGCCCAGTCCTTTGAGCTCCTGCACAGCTTACTTTATTTCAACCAAATAACAAATCTAAGAATGCAGAAAAGAAGAAACTGAGGAATAGAAAAGTGAATTTGTGTAAGCTGCTTAGCTCTTGATGTGCTGAGCCAAGATTTGGACTGAGGCCGTTTGAATTCAGAACATGGAAAGATATTTTGATATTTTTTACTCTAGAGGTATCAAAGTTGTTTCTCAGAAAAAATAGGTCTTTTTCTAGGTACTAATTGTCTGGATGATAGTGATGATGATGGTGATGATGGTGATGATGGTGATGATGGTGATGATGGTGGTGATGATGATGATGGTGATGATGGTGGTGATGGTGGTGATGATGGTGATGATGATGGTGATGATGGTGATGATGATGGTGATGAGAAGATGAAAGTAACTGTTAAAAGGGAAAAGGAACTAGAAGGGGAAAGGAACAGAAGGAAGGGAAAATGGGAAAAATGTGAGGTATCGATACCATAACTGCCTCTTGGTTCATTGAACAGGAAGGTTTGTGCCAGTTACACCTGGAGAAGTTTTGCACTCACAGCTTGTGCTCTGAGTACCTACTTGGAAGACGACATATGCACTGCGTTCACCATTGCTGTTCTCCTGGTATTTCATGATCAAATTGTTTTGCCTTTTTAAATAAAAATAACAGGGACACAGAGACAGCTCAGTGGTCAAAGTGCCTGCCTAGACCCGTGCAGGGGCCCCGGGCCCATCCCCAGTACCACATGCTGCACTGGCCCTGCCCCGGGAGCACCACGCTGGTCACCAAGGCAGGGCGTGGTGGTGTGCACCGGTAATCCCAGCACTGGGGAGGCTGAAGCAGAAGGGTCACTACGAGTCTGAGTTGCACAGTGGAACCCTGTATCAAACAAATAAATAAATAAAATATAAT